TAGATACAAACAATGTGGTACGCGAATTACAGCATCTAGCTAGGTTTCTTTAGCATCCGAAGAGATTATATCAAGCATCGATGAGAAAAATCCTATACTTTAAAAAGGAAAATATGCTCGACGAGAGATGTCATCAGATCTTGCATGTCATATGATACGTGTGCTTTAAACAAAATCCAACTGCTAAACAACAAATACATGGCTAAGGACAGGTTCAAGTGAAAACCGTAAACATATTGCAAACATACGAACTATTCATGATGAATGTCATGATAGATGTTAATGATGAATAATATTCATCATGGATCATTCATCGTGAATAATACATTAATTAGTAGTTCTTAAAATATTTACAGTTCTCATTTGAACTTTACTCTACATAAGTTGATACCAAAAACTTACATGTGTTTTGAGACCTGCAAACAGAACACATATGCAGTGTTCTCGTTTATCTGCACAAGTTTCTTCCCCCCATTGTACAACAAACTGCAACTTAGGCCACAGAAAGAGATGGAGATGTGCAAGTGTTTGGGGGAGGGGATGGGGGGTAGAGAAAGAGAGCATATACCAATCGAACAAAAAGAGTGTCAAGCGGAAACACTATTGCAATCTTCTTGATCAAGAAGCCTCCAAAGAACGATTCCTAAAACACGTTAGCATGATACTAATTTCTCTCTCACCTTGTTTAGGAAGATTCCATATTATACCCACCGTAAATAAATTGCAAGAAAAAAGCAATTACTTGTACCTAGGATCATTATTCATACATAATACCATATTAAATGTGATCTCAGCAACCCAAGTACTAGTAAGAGAGCCTACAAAAGCAGTAAGAAAACTAGTTGCAGCTTTTCTTAAACTAGTGCATGAAATTATGCATGCCAAACTCAAATGAAAGTAATACGAAAATGGAACCAAAGTAGAAGAGATAAGATGCATATGAATCAAACTTTGTCTCAGATTCAAATATAATTAGTACAAAAGACAAAGATATGGCACACTTATAAATCCTTACGTAGAATGAAGTATTAGATAGAAAAGTAATTTGAAACCAGTGCAAATTGACAATGAGACTAGAATTTGTCTGTGATACCACCAATACGAACTACAGTCTTAAGAGGTAATCCATCAAGAAGTTACTCTGCTACTTCTTGGTGCTTTTACCTCCTGTACTACTGTTCCCTGCAGCTTCTGCCGCTTTCTTGGCGGCCTTCTCTTGGAGTGCTTTTCCATCCCTTCAAATAGTTCACATGATTAGCATTCATGGAGACGATGGAATCACAAATTAACATGACATTTACTAACTCATGCTTTTGTTAACAAAAAGAAGTGCTCTCACTCACTCATATGCTTCAAAACAACGTAAAGTCCATGCTTATAAATATTAAACTAAATATACTACAACATTGATCAAAGATCATGCTAGCCATTAGCTGTTTCAGTGAATTGGTGAATAGACAATATTATGTTACATCGTGTAACAACCCAAAATTCAAAATAACTCCAATAACAGGAATCTCATCCCAATTTCATCAAAAAATTGCTGCGGAAGTTTAAAACTTAGATCATTGAAGCATTAGAGCTGAAGCTTTAGTGAACTAGGTTGTTGATAGCCTAGACTTAAATTGTACATTATCTAAGATGGCTTACTAGTGACGTGAATGTTGATTTAAGTGAAATAGAATTTCGTAATCTAGTACTAAACTTATAAATATGAAAGACTGGAGAAGCCATGAGATTACCGTAGGGAACCGTGGAGTGAGTGGAAATTTGAGTTAAAGTATAAAACCTTCCTTGGGAGTAAAATTGATGTTATGGTATGTAATGATAAAAATGGAACGGTTAATTCCACGTGTAATATGAGAGATAAGTATCTGGCTTGCAACCTTGATTAAATGATATACATATTCTTTATGCATACGAAAAGAGTAGATGAGCACGGTTGACGACCGTGATAGAATTGACTAAGGAACTTTGCTCGTGTAGATGTGAAATCAGGATGATACTCTTGTCAATGGAGATATTTCGAATTTTGGGATGTTAGACATCGACTTCAAAGCCAGCCAACTGTTAGGTAGCCTATGTATGTAAGAGCAAAAAGAATAGCTCAACATTCCTTCCAATACTTAAAAATATATCATTACTTACAAGGGCACACTACTCCCTCCGATACAAACAAAAGATGTAGAGATGGACTTTTTAATGCTAACAATCTCAATTTTCATCTTCGAAAAATGATCTTTTTGTCAATATTTCCAAGATTCCGAACTGAAACAGCTACACATAGAAAAATAGGGTTCTTAAAAGTGTCATTAGAAAGATTTTCAATTTGGAAAGTAGTAGCCTGGACCTCAAGAATCAATGTACTTCTCTTCCTGAAAGAGGGGAATATCACTTGAATACTTGATATATCCATTAGCCCTTCTTTGTAATACTACTAGTTACTCAAGCCAATATGCTATTGCTAGCTAATCTCCAAATTTAGCAAGCAACAGTGTTGAATGACTATTGATTAGAGATGAACCCAAAAATCATCAGATCAAGGTTATACCTAAAACTGAACTGAAGGGATAAACCAACATATCAACGAGTAACGAAATCAGAGTCACCGTCACTAACACAAATTAGGGAATAAATTGAATAAAACTAGGGCAAAAGATCAAACCTTTCACGGCGTTGTTCAGGGGTCAATCCATCGTCTTTAGTCTTCCCCTTACCACCGGCGCGAGCATTAGCTCTTTCGCGATCCTTCTCCCTCTGGTTACCGCGTTCGATCCGCCGTTAAGAAGATCACACAAGATACATATGCGAGTACGAATATAGAACACAAAAACGATTTGGACTTCAATTTGATGCACAAATATCGAAGTAACTCGGTAGATGGCATCAGATCGAGACCACAATGAACATGGAATAATTAAAAAGAAAACGAAAAAAGAAAAACCCTAGAAAGGATATGGGTCATCGTCGATGTGGAAATCCGGCAGAGATGTTTGCGTGGTATGGAAGTGGAGGCAGAGACGACAGTCGAAGACTTAAAGCAAAAGGATGGTTGACCCTCCTCCATAGCCAAAGCATGGTGGTAAAATTTACGAGTAGCCCCACAAGATATGATATTGGACATGTTCAGTCCTTCAATTTCTTTTAAATATTAAAAACACAATGTATAGTTGTGTTTTCTTTCTATTCAAGTATTTCGTGTAGTGGTATCCACGTAATTACGTGTTAAAAAAGCAATATCATTGAGGATAATTATAAATGGAAAAACCCAACAAAAATTTCCATGTTGAATGGTCAAACTTTGATGGATTGTTAATATATTTTTGGCAATTCACTAAAAGTATTAAAGGGTGATATTTGTTTATATACCAAATTAAGTATTTTTTATTAAATTAAATTATATACAAAAATTAATATGTATTTCACTTTTATTTATTAAAAATGAGTTGTTATTTGCACTGTCTACCTATTAAAAAATCAAAAAATCATAATAAATAATATTAAATGATTTAGAAGTTTAAAAAATGACATTATTTCATCTTTTTCTCTCTCTTATGTCCCCTCCTATCTCTCTTTTATTTTTTTTATTTTTTTAATTAATAGACAATGATAATTATTACTCTATAGTAATTATAATTTTTATTTGTATTATATTAATCAAATTTAAAACCAATAAATTAGAAAGACAATACGTCTTGTTAGTTATAAAAAATAATATATCATTTATTTTATAAATTTATAAATTTTAACCATATGTATATAATCGTATGGTTTGTTCATATAAAAATTAAATAAAAACTTTAAAAATTCATTTGCTAATTCTTAATTTTCATTTTATTTGTATTTTCATAGAATATATTGTTAATCCTTCTGCAACTTTAAAAATTCAGAAAATTATCCATCATTTTTTTCCAGCTTTAAAACTTAAAGTAACTAATTAGTTCTTATTTAAATTTTTGAATAGTCAAATAATAATTTTATCAGTTTTTCAGCAATCTCTAAAAATTTAGATAATAACTCGTCGTTTTTTATTAAAACTTCAAATACATATTAGTTTAAATTGTATTAAGTTTTATTTATACAAAAAACAATATTATTGTGATAAAAATATTTAGAAAAGAAATTTTGAAAACATAAGCTTAGAGGTGGTTGGAAGAAAACTTTTTTTGACTTCTTGAAAATGTTAATAAACTTAATATTAATTAAGTGATGGATTTAATTTTTATTAATATTAAAAAATCTATTTTTATAATAATAATAATCAATAAAAAGAATTAAATAATAAAAACATAGTTAAA